AGGCAAAATCAACGGGAAGTGAGAAATAAGCTCAATAATATTACCTGTATCTCTTCTGAATTATGTTCATTTCCAACTTCCACTTTTTTTATTATTAATGTTTTTGGCTCATAACATTTCCCTGAAACATACCAGACATAGCCTACTGTATCAATCTGCAAAACATTCAACAAGTGTTTTTTTTTTTTTTTTTATTGTTTTGTTTTCTTTCAAGAAGATGTGGGAGTGGCAAATGAAGAAATTCAGGCATAGTTAAATTATGTTAAATTATGGCCCAGGTATAATATGGTTAGGGGTTCATTCTGTTATAGTTAGGCACGGCCTCCCACTTTCCCATTGTTTTCACTGTGTGTCCCCTCCTACAGTTTGTCCCTAGTTTGTCCCTGTTCCTGTCTCTGTGTGTGTGTGTGTGTGTGTGTATGTGTGCGCGCGCACGTGTGTGTGTGTGTGTGTATCTGCTGAGTGTGGTATCCAGTTCCTCCTGCCACCTAATCACCCGCACACCTGAGGCCAATCTACTATGCACCGCCTGCAGTATAAAAACCTGGATCACTCTTCCACTCTTCTCAAGTCTGCCAAGTTGTACAAACACTCGGCCAGCTCTAGTTACCTTAAGTTTACTTCCTCATCTCTGCCCTCAAACTTGACCTTGTCTTTTTGCCTATGCTTAGGTCAACTCTCCCCGTGGCTGTGGCGTGCGCTTGCCTCGTCTAGCTCTCCAGCCACAGACATCCCCTGCTCAGCCTGCCGCTGGCCACATTTCCAAGAACCACCTGCCCAGCTCCATCGTCGATTCCAGACCTCCTACATCTGAAACATCTTTCACATTAAACCCATTTTTGAACTGGAGTCCAGATTTGTTACAAAACCTAACACATTCATTTGTAGTATGGTGACAGAATTGCTTAGTTTAGCCAACTAACAGCCTACTAATCGGTTGGGGTTACGGAAAAGATCACGGCCATGGTTACGAACACTGACTTATGACATGAAATGGGACATGAATGGTGTAGGCGAATGTGAATGCAAAACAGTTGCAAGAATGAAATAAAACATTACAGTCAGTAAAGGATGTGACTCACCCCCTCCCCCAATGCCCACAAACTCAATCCCATATCCCATACTCTAAGTGCCCTCGTGCTCGTCCCACTCGTAAAACTGTGTTATAGATAATTGCTGCGAATGTGATGGTGGATGATGAATTGTTACACTACTGACACCAAGCACTGGAAATTGGTGGCCGGGCTCTCCGCTGCCCCCCATTTAGAAATGGGCCCTCTTCATTTACATTTACGGACGATGGGGGTTTGAGAGTTCCTGGCCATCAATCAACCTGCTTATGTAACAGTGTCAATGTTTCTCATTGAGACCTTCAGCCAGAGTTGAAAAACAGTAGCTCAGCTCGATGCAGAGTAACTGCTATTAATCCCTGCGGTCCCATGCCATCATCTTAATCAGTATTTCAACACTTTGATTGGACAGGGATTGCATATCACGTTGAACCTGTCCTTGGGCTGTGCATGGGGGAATGGCAGAGCAAGGAGAAGGTATGAAGGAGGACATGTGGTCCTCCCTCATGTCTTCTCAAGGGAGTCGTGGAGTCTCTTGCTCTTTCGTGTGCGATTCCTGCTCTCTGCCTGAAGACATATCTGGGTTTTCACCTGGCCCACTTTCGAGCAGCTAAGGAAAGAAGGGCAGGCAAGACTGTCTGCAAGAGAACTTCACTGTAACAGTCAATTTGACCATATAATTGCTGGACCCTCGGCGTGAATTTCATCTTCAGTTTGTGATTGCATTAAGAGCTGTTAGCATCAGTCCCCTGCGAGTGTGAGCGTTCGCCTGCATGTGCTGAATAGGTGGGGGCAGTAATTAGTGGACTGTGATGCAGTACGCAGGCCTGTAAATGATCAGAGTGGAATCAACGACTCAACAAACTGTATACTCATGCCGGCCTCTGTATCCTGCATATATTAAAGACCTCACAGGTGGCACACACTGTTTACTCATACATCTAAAATCTACTGTCATAATGTTTGTGCACATACTGTACTGTTCTATTTGTACAGACTAACAAAGCAAAGCACACAGACAAACATGCACAGACAAACACAGGCACAGGGGTTCTGTCAGTATAGCCAATCAAACCTGTACACAAATGCTCAAATCATGAGAGATGGGAAAGTTACGATAAAAATGACTCATTGGGTTACTGGAATGGCTCAGACATGCTGGCCCACTACTCTGGTGATATCCACACATGCTGCAGCTGATGGCTCACCAGTTCCTCATTCCTTCAATTCATTGCCCTTATTTCGGTCCAGAAAAAAAAAAAATCCCTGCTGTATATCTTTTCCTCATTTTTCCCTGACATTCTTCCACAGCCAAAAAAAAACAACAAAAAAAACACTGTTAATATTGTGTGTATTCTTTTTTGCTTATTTTCTTTCTATCTTTGGACCAGAACTAATTTGCTATGCTGGCATGTATGTCTGCTGTCAAGTGTAAACGTAGCAATGGGCACAGGGCAAAGTCTGTTACCACATTTTAGGATATCATATCCCTCATCTTGTCACTTTCTACCTCCAAATGTTGTGTCCTTTATTTTCTCCTGAGACGCGCATGTTTGGTTGAAAACCGTTCCCACCCTGTGTTGGGCGATACTTCCCCTTTAATGTGGAGCAGCGAGGACTGGAGTGTCGGGGAGAGAGGGGCAGCGCAAAGGGACGGGGCGAGGCGCGCAAAGAAGCTCTTAGTATGCGCTGCGATGCCCAACTGCAGCCCACGCATCTCTACTACGGTGAATTATGGTGAAATATGAGAGACGTGGGAAGAGCCGGCAGCTCAGAAACAGTTGGTCGTGATGAGATGACACAGCCGCTGGATAGATTAGTCAAATGAGAGAAGAGGGACAGATATGAAGGAATGGACTCACGACCTCAAGGCACCTTTTAAGAGGAGACAAACTGGATAAAAAAATACATGCGTCTGCACACCAAGAGAATCAGGGTGAATTCCTGCATGCCATTATCTGAAATAATGTTATAGTCCGACAGATAATGCTATGCTGCTTTGTTTAGTGCATGGAAGTCTGTTGTGGCTGTCCGCGATCCACTCAGGAGAGGGCTGCAAATGGCTTGAGCATGTCTGGCACCTGCCACTCCAAACTAACTCACCCGCGCTTGCCAATCAACTACAACACTTGCCATTTAACGTTATATCCCAGTGCATGAACTTGGCTGCTCTGTCTGAAATTTATTGACAACAACAGTTGTCCACCTATTACAAACGCCATCAGAGGACTGCGTTATTCCATGGAATGGGTTGTGAACATAAGCCTCCATTTGTTACTAATGTGCATCATTGGTGTGTTCATATGGATATTCCCCATCAGAAAAAAGATGGTGGAATTTACGCGGAGATAAATTAGGAAATAACGTTTGAGCCGAGATGCAGAAACCTTCGGGCGGAATACGGACCTGTTTGGGGATCAAACAGGTGATTTCGCCTTAAACGAAATCCGCCGAAGCGACGCATGGGTGCTTCCGAGTAGAAATACTGACAGCATCGCCGCCTCCCGCAACCTCCTTTCCTCCTTAAGTCTCCGCAGATTTCAGACTAGAGGATTACCTTTGCTGCTGTGTGACAGGCGGTGGCATATTGTTCTGAAGTGGTGGAGGGGGCTGGGAGGGAGGGGGGCGTCAAATGTTGCTGATGCCAGCTTTTTAAGATTTGCTTAACAAAAATCACTGTCCCACCACCACCACCACCACCACCCCCACCAGCAGCAGAAGCAGCAACAGCAACAGCAACAGCTTCAACCTGTAGCCATAGCTGCATCACAACATGTATCTGCTGGTGACTGAGGCAAGGGAGGTAACTCCTGCATCCTCACGCCTTGTCCCCTCTCTCACTCCCACTGCTGCGTTGCTGCAGAGCCGGAGCTTCTGGTGATATATGGCTGACAGAAAGGAGCTGCTTTGATCGTGGAGGGACTGACTTTGGACCGGACACACCTGCTTCGCCCAGTTTACACATTCCCACTATAGAAGACAGACTGTAAACGCGCCTCATAAGTGCCAGTGACAATAGGTAGGACTTTTTGGATGTTTATTCAGACCTTGCTGCTTTTACTACCAAAATGACACATCATGTGGCTGTGTGATGTAAAATCTAATAGTTCTCCAATATCTTCATACATATAGCTTTTATGTAGTGGCCTATGAAGTTTGAAGGTTAAGGTGTGGGCTGCTCAAACAGCTCTGCAGTAACACAGTGGGCCATGTCAACCACTGGCAATGACAAATATTCCTAATTATAATCTACTGATAAACTATTAATTGGTTAAGTGACTTGATGAAGTTTTTCTTGGCTTTGGGAGGGAATGTAGATCACATCACACCTACAGAGGGAGGAAATTTATCTCAGAGATTGTATGGAGCACTCAGCATATAATCAGATTTGTTGCTTGTAATTGCACCCTGTGAGAGCTGATACAGTATTACTGGCTAGCTATTGATCCTGCAGTGTGCTCAGATGAGAGAGAACTAATACCCTAATACACATAGACACAATGGAGCCAATGCGCTGAAGTGGTTCTGCCCCTCCTGCCTGTTATTTTCAACTGCCCCGCTCGTGCCTGTTTTCAAGAAAAGACCATGAAAAAGCACAGCGTTTCTGGGAATTACTGATGGTTTTTGGTCTGTGAAAAATGAATGCATCAGAAATACATGCCAATGAATACAAGTTGTTGAATCTGCATGCTCAAATTTAGGATTGATAAATCGGTTCAAAAGTATGAGTTTTCTTGCTCATTGCATAGTAAATACAACATGAAACGGATGGTAATCGCATTAATATTGTAATCTTTCTCTGCTTTCTGTCCTGTCCTGTAGCTCCTCACTGCCTGCACCTGAACCCACGAGTGTGGGGAGTCTTTATCCTCCCGTGGCCCTACGTGGCCCCACCCTCTCTGAAAGCTGCAGGTCCCATCTCCCTCCAGCATGACGGTTGCTACCAGCGACCCCGCAGACGAAGCAGCAGCACATCCGGGTCAGCCTCACGACCAGTATGACCCAGATCCGGATCATGAGTGCTGCGAGAGGGTGGTCATCAACATCTCAGGCTTGCGCTTTGAGACGCAGCTCAAGACTCTCTCCCAGTTTCCAGAGACACTACTGGGTGATCCCAAAAAAAGGATGAGGTATTTTGATCCCCTCCGGAATGAGTACTTCTTTGACCGGAATCGCCCGAGTTTTGATGCCATTCTGTATTATTACCAATCAGGAGGAAGGCTGCGCCGGCCTGTTAATGTCACCCTGGATATTTTTTCTGAGGAGATCCGGTTTTATGAATTAGGTGAGGAGGCTATGGAAATCTTCAGGGAGGATGAAGGCTTCATAAAGGAAGAGGAGCGGCCTCTGCCAGAGAATGAATTTCAGAGACAAGTTTGGCTGCTGTTTGAGTATCCGGAGAGCTCAGGTCCCGCTCGCATCATTGCCATCATCTCTGTCATGGTGATTCTTATCTCTATTGTCAGCTTCTGTCTAGAGACACTGCCAGTTTTCCGAAATGAAGACGAGGAGATGTATAAATATTCGTCCCAGTCTATGTACAACACCACCTCTACCTCTGACGGCTCGACATATTTTACGGATCCCTTCTTCATCGTGGAGACCCTCTGTATTATCTGGTTCTCTTTTGAGTTCCTGGTTAGGTTCTTTGCCTGTCCGAGTAAAGCTGGATTTTTTGGCAACATCATGAATATCATTGATATTGTGGCAATCATCCCCTACTTCATCACGCTGGGCACAGAGCTAGCAGAGAGGCCAGAGGACAGCCAGGCAGGCCAGCAGGCTATGTCTTTGGCTATTCTCCGTGTCATTCGTCTAGTCAGGGTGTTTCGTATATTCAAACTCTCACGTCATTCCAAGGGGCTCCAGATCTTGGGGCAGACTCTGAAGGCCAGCATGCGTGAGCTGGGCCTCCTCATCTTCTTCCTGTTTATCGGTGTGATCCTCTTCTCCAGTGCCGTCTACTTCGCAGAAGCAGACGAGCCACATTCCCAGTTCAGCAGCATCCCTGAGGCCTTTTGGTGGGCAGTGGTTTCCATGACCACCGTAGGCTACGGAGACATGGTCCCAACCACCATTGGAGGAAAGATTGTGGGGTCTCTGTGTGCGATCGCTGGTGTGCTGACTATTGCCCTGCCTGTTCCTGTCATCGTATCAAACTTCAACTACTTCTACCACAGAGAGACGGAGGGCGAGGAGCAGGCGCAGTATCTGAATATCCCAAGTGTGCCTAAAGCCAGCTCAGCTGATGACCTGAAGAAGAGTGGTCGGAGCGGCAGTGGATCCACTCTCAGTAAATCTGACTATGTGGAGATCCAGGAGGCTGTGAACCACAGCACTGAGGACTTCAGACCAGAGGGCATGAAAACAGGAAACTGCACCCTGGCCAACACTAACTATGTAAATATCACTAAGATGCGCACAGATGTATAATGTGAGCTACTGTAGATGGTTAACTTCAGCTGGGGTCTGCAGGGACTGTTACAGTGAATGAAGGCGTGACTCCCTGTATTGACCAACGTATGGCGCCCAGTATGGGAGTCCAGAGGCAGATGAGTGAGATCAACGTGGAGAAAAGGTCAGTCGACAGGACCACATATTCTCCCACATCCTACGGACCTATCATTGCATATCATAGAACTGCCCCCTGTCTTATTTAGGACATTGTCAGTGTCTGCATGGAGTTAGTCTTACTTATGTGACAGTAGTCGTCCTGCTCGCAACAGTAGCCAAATAGTAGCCTAACCAGTAATAATCAATATTAACAGTGTAAAGGGACCACAAGTTTCTACCTTCTTGCTCAAGCTGCCGTCGGGAGAAGATGCACGATGACAACAACTTAAATCAGCGTAACCTTAATTTTTCAGTGTAACTTCACGTATGAACGATTGAAAACAGGGCACAATATCAGCATTCATGAGCTACTTTAACGTGCTGCTCTAACTGCCAAGGTCCTGAGAAACAAAATCACCAAGATCACAGCTGTTCTGTCAGGTGGAGGGGGGGTGGGGGGTGGAGTGGGGGGGGGGATCTTTTCTCGCTTTTTCTGTGAGAGAGAAAGCTGGAGTGCGCTAGCTTTACTCCCTCGGCCCTCACTAGATATTGTCTAGTGCAAGCTAGTGGCCTATGTAGAGACCTACAGATAATGACAATGCTGTTCTGTAATTCTGGACTACAATAGCAAAGCACCTCCTTTGTCCTGCCATATTTCCTTCTCTGGTGAAGCTCAAGTGGATTTATCATATGTAAACAGTCTCCAAGACTCTGCCTTTTTTCCAGCCAAAGCAGGCTAACAGGTGGACAGAAGAAATGTCTCTCCAAACAAAGTGAATGTCTTATTTATTGTTGTGTGTTCATTTGACTTGTTGTAATGTATGATTTTTTTTTTTTTTTTTTTTTTTTTTTTTAGTAATGATGATGAATGTGTGCTTCTCACGTATATTTTTTATGGTTAATGTGGAAAGAAAGACTGTGAACATTTTCTCTGTAGTGTTCTGAGTGAGTGCCTATTCCTCCATCCTCTTAACTATACCTTCAAGTGTCTCTTTAGCTGTCATCTGCTCCACTGTAACAGTGAGTACTGTTTCGTTTGACCCCACTGCCCAGCATAAATGTTGCTGTTTTTGACTTCATAGCATTCCATGTTTGTAGAAATAGATCAAATGAGATTAAGGAACAAAACCTGGGTGAGATTTTCATTTGTTGTTTTTGTCAGGTGCTAATTTCAGCACAGTTTAACATTTACTGCAGCAAAGCGAACTAGTTTGATGTACAATCCATTACATCCATTGTTAACCCTAAAAGTTTTAAATGACCAAACACCCCAAATTAAAGAAAGACCTTGATGATCGACTAAAATAAATTTCTGAGATCTTTAAAGTCCATCTGTTTTCATACCAGCAATGCCAACTACTCTAAGCTTGCATATGATATCCAGAAGTTCATTAGCAATACTTGTAAAATTGATTGATTTTACCTAATCAAATTGATAAATCATTTTTATCCTCTCATGCACTCCGGACCATATATTTCTCCCTTTCAATACATCAAAATTAGTAAACTTTGCCTGCCTCTGGAACAAGTTAGAAACAACGAAAATGTTTCTTTCAGTGATTTTACTGTTAGATTTTACAGTGGTTATGTGTTGCTATTTCAATTATCAGGTAACCAAAGAAGAATGTGCTGCCACCTGGAACATTATCATATTTCTTGAATTAGATTTATTTTGTCTCAGAACTTCTTTTTTTTTACCCATGTAGATTCAAGAGTCATTCCACTGGTGCATTTTGCCCACATAATGCAGGACCTAGAGTATGTGTCCTTTATTAGATGTTATTCTGCTACTGTAGAGCTGCATGTTCTTTGAAGTATTCACTGTAGCATGCATTAGTATGGATAATACTCAAAAGGCAAATTTACTTCAATATATTCCTATATTTCTAGAGATGCTGGCGCTATGTGCAATATATGGAAGACAAGTGTCTTGGTTTAAGAAGTGTGAGCGATGCTTTGCATATGCATCATTTTTGCCATTTGCTATTTGAAATATTGTTAAATCCGAGTGAAGTGAAAGAGAGCGAGAGCGACAGGAAGAGAGAGAGAGAGAGCTGTGTTTCCATGAGAAGATTCATTAACTTTCTCTAATGTGTGGAGGATCGAGAAAATGACAGCAGGTTAAACATGAGAGGAAAGAGGGGAGGTTTGATTGGTTTAAAAAATACAGCAAGGTGACATGAGAGTCCACAGCGGGGGATTGCTAAACCTACAGAACACTCCACAGTTCAGACATTAACTAATGCGCCGCTCCCCTCAGCTTTATTGTCTTTATAGACTGTCGCAAGTCACAACCCAGTAACTGTATCTCAAAGTGAAAGCACAACAACAGCTACTATCTGCCGCCAGCCCGGTGGATGCGGAGAGATCCAAAACAGTTGGTTATTCCGACTTTTTACTCAGCCAAGTGTAACATAATGCTCCGAGGGACTGTCGAAGTGCCCCCTATCTCTGACATATAGATCCATCATGCTCAGTGTGTTGTGTTGTCTGTGCATGTGTGTGTGTGTTTGTGTGTGTGAGAGAAAGAGAGAGAGAGAGAGCGAGAGAAAGAGAGAGAGTGAGAGAGAGAGACAAAGCGACTGTGAGAGAAATAGAGAGCTTTTTAGATACAAGCTGAGCGTGTAGCTTTTAGAGACAATATGGTAGCAGTTATCTAAAACACTGCTCTTCTTGACTCCAGGCCAGAGCGACTGTGGTGCTCTGTATATTCTATTCCATCTTAGCACACTGTTTACAGACTGTGTATATACTGAACACATGCATGTGGTATATAATACACAGAAAACTGAAAGGAATGTCTTGCAGTAGAGATGAGATCTAGGAGCATGAGAGTGATTGATTGAGATAAGCTGCAGTATCAGTAAGAGCTGATACTGGGAATTGAGGAGAGGAGAGATTGGGAAGGAAAATATGATAATGAACGTAAGATCAACACTGCCCACACCCTGTGCTTTTTACTCTGATGTATACTTGTATTTCTCTACACTGTACTGGAACACCTATGTGACTTTATATGACCTATAAGCTTCGTCTGGACTGCTGTCTCTTCCACTCTTGTTACCAAGTGTGCAATTGAAGTGACACTCTGTCAAGACGGAGACACTCTCGTGGAAACCAACAAGACGGCACATCCGGATCTGAACCAAGGAAAACACATCTTTGCTCTTCTTCTTCTTCTTCTTCTTCTTCTTCTTCTTCTTCTTCTTACTTCACAACACAAACAAAAGTACACTTGACACACACATGCCGGACATTTGAATACATACAGCCAGTGCACACACCTGTACACGCACTGCCTGTGAACATATACCTTTGTGGTGACGTCTGCTGTCAGGTCGGACGCACAGCTGTGGTTTTATTCAACTTCAAGGACATAAACTGAATGGACTTAAACCCACTGCTGGTGGTGAACACACGTAGCCATGTAAACAATGTATCTAACAGTTACAGCTGCTTTCAATGATGTCTTAAAAATGCCTAAAGCTTCAGCTTTAAAATGAGCTTCTGCCATGTACAGATTCCTGTGTAGCAGGGAATCAAAGTGTATGCTTGCTGAACTAATCCAAGAAACTAAAGTTGTATAGTAAGTGAATTATCTCCTATGTTTAGTATGCTCTAGGGACAAAGGATGGAAGTATATTAACAACAATCAAAAAGGAAATATGATTTCAGTGATAACTTCAATTCATTTGTGTCATCAGACATTGTACAATTGATCTTTTTGTTTGTCTGTTTTCACAATGTTTTTGTATTTGAATGGGTTGAGGTTTAACTGAAATGCAGATGCAGGCCTTGGTCAAATAGATTCTTTCTGCACTGTCCTAATACATATTTACCCCCAGCCAACAACTCCCACTTTCTTCTACTTCCTCTGCCTTCTTCAACTATTCGCCGGTCAGAAATGTGTTTGATTGAGATTCAGATAATCCTCAGCTCCTTCACTCTATTATGTTCTTGTGGTGGATTCTGCTCAGCTCTCTGTATAAAACCTGTTTTGTTTATTTCTTTTTCTACCATTGTAAGGAAAAGACTGATCCAAGATGCAAACTGTCCATTGATACACACAAAGGAAATATGGATCTGGACGCTTGCCATGCCCTTCACAAGGGCATACGATGAATATAAACTGATTAAAAGAGAATATCTAGAAAGAGATACTTTCATCATTCAAAATAATTGTAAATCAAAAACTATTATGAATACTAATAATGGTCTCATGATTATATCAATAATAACATCTTTACAATAACCTCAAGCCTCTGTTTTGCTTCTGTCTTTCTCATTTCATGTCAACATGTTTCACAGACGTTTTGTGCAGACAAATAGACGTGAAATTCTAATCATGGATTTCAATCAGTTTGTCTCATAATGATGCTTATATTATCAAGCGAGCCCAAATAATGTCACAATATATTTTAACTACAAGGTGTTTCACCCCTTAACAACATACAGTCCGTCATACATCAAGGATAAACAGAATTTTTTTTTTTTTTCAAAAAGTCTAAGTCAGTTATCGTTTACATGAAATCCAACAACTTCCCGTATGTCCTGTGTTAAAAGACAAGAAAGCCACTCAAGCATACAGCGTGTAACAGATTCCATTCTTCTTCAGCGCTCTTAAAGCAAAGATATTAATGCCCTGAGAAAGAAAATCTACATGTACAGTATAAATTCTCGTGTCCATTAGAGAAGGCATGTTTGAATTGACTATCGACCCTCACCTCCTCAATTGTTTTGTTCTGCTTCTCCCCTTAAGTCAATCTTAAGCGCTCTGTGGTTTACTGAGAAAGCAAAGTGGTCTATTTATAAAACCAGCGAGGGGGAAAGTGTGGCAGAGAGAATGAGGAAGACAGAGGAGAGCAAAACGCTCTTGACTC